CAATGACATCAATATCATCTGGTTCTAGCATTCCTCCCTTTCGAAGTATATCAACCAAATCAACTGCATTTGACCGAACAGCAGCATCCGAATCTCTTGTGGCGATTTCAATGATCCGAGGTCTAAATCGTTCAATGAATGTACCCATTCTTGAAACATTGCTAGAATTCTTCAAAATTCTTTGTAATTGTTTAACCACTTCGAGTCGCATAGTTGAAGCCGAATCTGTAAGCATCCATCCCAGATATCGTAAATATTGCCCATCGAACCAATAACCAGGTAGGGTATGAATCCAAAGACCTAGTGCTTCAATACATTCTGTCCGGATTTTCGGGTCAACATCTCGATATCTATGAACCCAGATTGTATCGAAAATATCCTTCAATCGTTCTTCTAAGATCTCCTTCTTGCCTTCTCCTTCTCGAACCTTTCTCTCAAAGTCTGCCAGTCTGCCTTTGTTGGGTCGTTTGTTTTTCTTCTCTCCTTCGAGTTGACGTAATGTTCTTGCAGCAATTTCGATTTGTTCCTTCGCGACTTGACAGGTAGAAGTGGCAATAGTTAAAGCAACGGCAGTCGCAGTATGTCTGAAAGGTCGTAGGTTCGAAGACGACATGGAAGCCATCCAATGAAATATGCTTTCCATTAATGGTTCGTCCTCATCATAAAGTGCTCCAGAGGCATTCATTGTTTTGTTTAAAGAGTCGAAGAAATCGAGGAAAGAGGTACGAAAGGTATGGCTATTCTTCGCTCGTGAGATCAATGGATAATCGGATATATTTTGCTACCACATAAATCAGCATAGGTAAACCCTAGAAATGTGCCAAAACTTACTGCTTGGTGTTCGTCTTGAAGGTCTGCAATCTTCCCATTAACATTATCTGCATCGTTAACATCATCCTCGTTGACAACAAGATCACAACCAGCACTCTTCAATACGAAATTTATCAATTCTGCCACAGCTCCAGGACTATTTTGTGCATATTTTTCCAGAAAGCTAGAAACAACCTCATCGGATGGTCGCCCGCTCGTATAAACATCAGCTATAAAAGATATCAGTATAACCTAATAATAGGATCAGAATTGCTCATGGCGCATACCGTAAAGTCCTTCAGCATCCTCATCTGCTATGACAACTGTCTTTGCTTTCTTGGGTCGATTTGGCAATCTTACAGCAGGCGCTCTAGCATGAGAAGCTGTGCCATTTATTTTTGGTTTCTTTGCTGCAGGTTTCTTCGAAGTCCTGGCTTTCCTTCGAGCTTCTTTCAATTCTTCTTCCCCCGCACTTTCTTCCTCTAATTCATCGTTCTCATCCTCTTCTTCTACTTCTACTTCTTCTTCCTCTGACGCGTCATCTTCTCCATCTTCATCGGATCTCTTTCTTTTGGCGTTTGTGGAACGAATTGCAGATGATGGTAAATCTGGAACGAATTTCTCGGGTGCTTTTACGGCGCGTCCTGATTTCCTTCTACCAGATACGACGGGTGTGCTTAACACATCATTTTCGATCTCCATGAGTGGCAATCGTTGAGTATTCATCAGCGCATCAATTGCGCATTTGATTGAAATTCAAAGAATAATTTGGGGTGATGTGGCGCGTTTGGTTGTAAGTTTGTGATTTAATGTTGACGTATCGCGAGAATTGAATGAATATCGCGTTTGAACGTTTCTAATTGGATTTAGCGCCACTCAACTTTTTTAAGGCTTACAACGCTTATTTTCAAGCATCTTCAGCATGTAGGTAGGGTTATAGCCTGCCTCCATGTATGTATGTATGTATCCAGCTGCCGCTTTCTTTACTTTACCTTGCCTTGCCTGGTCTTGTCTTATCTTCTCTCCACTTCAATGGGGTAAATATTATGAGAAATTATTTATCGAAAAGATAATCATAAATTTATAAGTTACTCTCTCCGTCTCTCTCTCTGTACCGTTTGAAGGATGCTTTGCTTTCTACGAGTACCAAGTCAAAATTATCCAAAACTACCCATTCACCAGCTCTACCAATTCTACCACTTCTAAAATGATACGATAACAACATATTCCTTCCACTATACCTTTGATCCTTCACCAAAGCCTCACTTAAGCTCTCAATATGCTATCTCCTTTCCCCCCTTCATCGTCTGCTCCAGGCGAGGGGCATTTGGTTGTTCACTTGCTACCTCATTCAATCTCCGCTCTATCAAGAATGACTTTTCAATACCCACTAAAATTGATATCTCCATCTCCTTCAGCTGAACAAAAGAGCGTCTTGGTCTTCCTCTTGACATATGGTGGAGGTCTTGTCGGTGGGGATCAAGTTCATCTCAAGATAAATGTCAACCCAAACGCAAAGTTGAGTATCGTTACACAAGGTCATACCAAGATATTCAAATCACCAACACGTGATGTTATTACACGCCAACATTTACAAGTTACCATTGAGGATGGTGCTTCTGTTTGTTTATTGCCCGATCCGGTTCAACCTTTCGCGGAAAGTGTGTATGAACAATCGCAAACTTTCAATCTCAAAGAAGGGGGATCCCTTTGTTTATTAGATTGGGTTTCAGCTGGGAGAACTGCAAGAGGTGAAAATTGGGATTTACGAGCATGGAGTGGGAGAAACGAAATTTGGTCAATAGGAAAGGATATGAAGAAGAGGCTTTTGCTAAGAGATAATGTCTTGTTAGAAGGAGATGAAACAACAGCTCAAGAGAAATTACTACGGCATAAAATGCGCGGAAACGGTATATTTGGGACATTGATCCTGAAAGGTCCTTTGGTCGAGAAGTTATCTGCATTCTTCTTGTCTGAGTTTGCTGCACTTCCCAGAATTGGTGCTAGAGATTTTCGTTCTGATGATAGGAAAGAGAGAGACAGCGAGATTGTTCTATCGAGAGAAGAATCATGGAGACTTCGACGACTTCAACAAGAAAAGAATGAAGGTATTCTTTGGTCCGCTGCCAAAGTGAGAGGATGTACAGTGGTAAAATTTGGGGCGCCAACTGTTGAAAGTGGTCGGGTATGGATTGGTGGTATGATCAAAGAAGAATGTAGTATATCAGAGATCTTTGGAGAAGATTCATTGATGTGTGTCCGTGAATGAATAGGATGGACTTGGATTGGATAGGGATTTAATACAACCGGGAGTACTGTCTGATATATCACGCCCATATGTACCGAAAGACTTTATATGGGTGGAAACCTTGGAAGCATTTGTCCGATGTATGACATGGTGAGAGGATGCGAGGAAGTTCTTGCCGCACAAACTCGAGCCCTGTCTCCAAATGAGCCCCGTTGAATCAGTCCTGTGTGTGCTACCTTCGAAACGTTTTGGAAGTTGGAACTCAGGAGATACATAGTGGATTTGCTATGAACTTCGTTTAAACTTTGAAGATATATCATTTTTGGTCATGATAATGGCCAGCCATCTAGATACACAATACAAAGTTGATACCATGATGGGGGGATTGTTAATGCAAATCTAACCGAGCCTCATAGCCTTCCTTGCCAGCCATTACATTTCTCCATATATTCTCTTAAGCATAGCACATGTGTGAAGCTTGTAATGAGACAGAAGTTTGGTGCCTGGGTACAGTCAGTCTCTCGTCGCAAGAAACAAAGCAATGTAACACGTTTTGGTCACTGCACCCGGCTCGATGATTTAAGGAAGGCAATGCTATCCGAGCATTGATCCATTTCCATCTGAAGCTCATGTTCTGAAACACCAGTCGAACCTCTAGGGCGTCGACTATGACCAAATCAATCATGGTTCATCGACTAAGCCATATCGGCACGTGACCATTACTGTCAAGACTTTCTGTTTTGCCGGTAACCTATGTGCATTGATTTCAGACCAAACAAAACACAAAACAATTGCCAGGCAAGAGGGATGAGCTGCAAAGAATTTCGGCAAAGGTTAGTAATGCAGTATCAAATACGATCTCCCTACCTACCAATGCGGCGCAGTCCTTGGACCTTGACACAATTTTAAACACAAATTAACTTCTTTTGAGCGTTTGCAACTTGATGAGATTCAGGTTTTGAAAGCTTCGACCAGTTGTGAGAGGTCTGTTGTTTGAATACCGAAAAGATCTACAATATGCAATTACATGATTGCTCCAAGGGTCCTAAGTATCAGATGCCGGCAAAGCATTATTATTTCCTCACACAAACTCACAGAGTCATGGATTAATTCCAGGCCTTTCTCCATGCTCCATCAAAACTCCACATTGATCGCCATAGCAATTACTGATTGGTCGATTGGGACTATTCAACAAGCTTAATTCGACATCAGCACTATCTTGGAAGCTACTGTGCTGGAAAGGGGGCAATACGACGGGCCGCCTCCGGTATCCAAAGTCCAATTCAAAGCAAATTCTCGTCTAACAAAATTCAAATACTGCATTTTAGGCAACATGACTCTCAAGAGTTGTGGTATGCCGGGTGCAACAAGGTTACTGATGATTTGGACAAGTTTTGATCATTAAGCGTGTAAACTTGTAAAGGTATGACTTCAAAACTTGCAGTCCTTTCTCCAGTCTTTGCTTCTATTGGAATTGGTCTAGTGACAATACTTCAAACCAACATAATGTTTTGAACGTCTCAAATGAAATCAGCCTTTAGCCATATCAGTTTTCACCCCTTCAGTTGAGTGTGGCTTTGGAAACGTGCACAGACAAGACCACATGAAGAAACCTGACCCTGTTTGACTACATCTGCCAAGAAGCATACAAACCCCGATGCGACCTGTCGAGGCGAAAACATTTCCTGTTTCGATACTCCTCAAGATTCAAATCATCAGTCAAAAAATATCGTACTTCCTGGATACCTTCTCCGCAATCTGTCTCGTAGGTCCACCGGCGGTCCATTTTACCTGGATGTTAGGACTTCAATGTTACAATGGCGAAGAGTTTAGACCTTTTTATCTAGTGTGAAATATCTATCATCCGGTCATGGCAATTACTCCACTATTTTGCTATTATGTTGACAAGATAGTTAAACCTTTGATTGTTTGTATCCACAATATGTCGGATAAGCTCTGTGCATCAGGAACGGAGGCTGAGCACAGACTTCGCATCGCTTCCCATTGTCCTCCTTCTCTTCGCATTGGGTCCAGTATGGAACTTTGGACTGCTCTTGGCAAGTTTCTCATGGTTACTATCTCCCGTAGTATGGAAACTGGTCTGATCATAGTACTTTGGAGTCGATTTGCCTGTGATTGAGAAACTATTAAAGGAACCGAATCTCCCTCCGTTTACAATTCTCTCCTCAGCATCAACAGTTTTTCAGTTTCTTTCAATCTTCCAATTATCTTTCATTTTCCAGCCGCATACTATTGACTAGTATCCCGCTTTATACATCTTAAATCTTTAATTTTCAATAAACCTTTAAAAACCAACCAACCAACCCAAATCAGCAAATATGCGTTATACTATCGCCGTCGCCGCTATCATCCCTCTCGTTGCCGCCCATGGCAAGATCGCAGTCATGGTTAGTAATCTATCTCATCTTCTTTCATCATCCCCAATTCCAATTATTCATACTAACTCGTTATTTCAGACTGGTGACATGGGAGGAAACACTACTGGTCTCGGTATCCAAGGTGCCGTCATCCCTGGTGCCGGAACCAACAAGCAAACTGAGGTCGACACCACTGTCTTCAACAGCAAGAACGCCGCTACCGATGGTCTTGGAAAGACAAAGGCTGGTGCCAACACCATGGCTGACATGACTGCTGTCATGGCTGCTTCCGGTTCCACTCTTCCTCAAGTTTCTGATGGAGGTGAGCTCAGTGGAACTATCCACATCGTCACTACTGATGGAGCTGGACCATACTCTGCCATCGTCGACCCAACTGGTACCGGTGCCTTCTCCCAAGGTACCCAAGCCAAGGTTACCACTCAAGTACCAGGTACCAAGGGTAACATCGCCGCACCCAAGCAACGCTCCCTCGTCATGAGATCTCTTGTCAACATGGGTATCGTCAAGCGTGCCAAGAACGTAAACGAGGACTACCCCATCGCCGTCTCCATGCCAGCAGGCATGTCCTGCACTGGATCCGTCGGTGGTCAAGAGAATGTCTGCTTGGTCAAGCTTGCTAACCCATCGGGCGCTGGTCCTTTCGGTGGTGTCGCCGCTTTCCAAATGGCTGGTGCCTCAACTGCCGGTGCTGCCGGTAATGCTACCGCAGCTACCACCAAGAGATCCATCGGTGCCAAGTTCCGTGCTTAGATTTTTCGCAAGAATCGTTTAGGATTACGGTAGTTAGGATCGGGGGTTCATACCAGGAGTTGAGGAATAGGAATGGGAAATCGGGGAAAGGATCTTGTGGGGATGGGATGGAGCGGTGGAGAATTTTCATTTGTTACATATTGGGGTTGTCCTTGGTTGTTGGAAAAAAAGAAAGAGATATACTACTCTTACATTTTCATGTTGTATCTAGTATAGCCACTCCTTTATAAACTTAATGTTGATGCTCTTGCTGGTCAAAAAAAAACTCTAGTCTTCTGCAAATTGATTGTGAATTGTGATGGTTTTTTCTTGTGCTGTTTGATTTCTACTGATTGGATTTCTTGATACTCATTCAAAGTACTTTTGAATTCCCTCCTTAATCGAAACCGAAAGTTCTTCTACCTCTCAGACATTAGTTCCTGTAAATCTACTCCGTGTTTACACCTACTTCCCATGAGAACCATCAGCACCCCTCCAATCCTTCACATCACAGCAATACCTGATACCAGCACACTTCCAATTCTCAAGAGTCAACAATAGATCTTAAACTTTTAACCATTTATCTTCATCACTAATTCGGATTCTCTCTTCTCTTGGAGATTCAAGTATCAAGATTTAAGTATCAAATATCAACTTGGAGAAGAAGTCCATCAGCCTGCGTTATTGAAATTTGAAAATTCCACTCGGGGCTCTCAAAGTAAACAAAAAATGTATAGGATGGGAATCGGGCTATCTCAAACTCTTGATGATGAAGGATCATCAGGATGTGCTTAATCTTGACAATAGTTCCAAGTTCGCAATTGTAGTTTTTGGATAATTAATGAGATTTTCCAAGATGTTTACTTTGTTATTTCATTTGTATTTCCATCTCTATTCTAATTTCAATTCTTATCTCTATCTCTAACCTCCAGCATCTTCCTCCTCGCCTCTACAAAATTCCTTTTTCAATATCCATGCGGAGCAACTAATCTCTCCTTATCACTCTGTCTCACGCGTATCGCTCCTAATCTTCTTTAAACTAATCTCTTTCCCTTCCCTCTCTCCAAATCCACAAATCCCTCTCCATAACCACAGATCTTTCCCCTCCCCGCTCCCGACAAAAACTACCCTCTCCCCTCTCTCCTCCTCCCCCATCGTTCTCATGTGCAGTTTTGCCAACAACCCCTAAACCATCAGACACACCACAATCAAAAAAACCACCAACTCCCCAATCAAACAAACCAATACAAAAGCATCAATCCACTCTCCGTTCTGTCCTATCCCATCCCATCCTACCTCCTTGTCAAACTCAAAAACGTAATCATCAATTCAGTCCCACCTCCACTATCCTCAAATTCTTGATCCGCAACCCCAAGTCCTTCGCACCGGCACAATCAATACAAACAATATAAACAACATAAACAATCAACATAAACATAAATATCCAAACACAAACATCCGAAACCCCATCAAGCAGTAAACAGTGAATACTACAAAGCAGCAATATCAAATTATCAACGTATTTCCTGCTGGGAAAACATGTATCCCAGAATTCCAGAGACAATAAGCGTGATACACATAATCGCTGCTGCAGCCGGGTCTGTGATTGTGAGACTGATGAGGATGGGAATGAGGATGAGAATCAAAATGCGGAAAGATCGAGATAATCGTATATGGAGAGAAGGAGATGATGATACAAAGAGTGTTGAGTTTTGAGGATGTGAAGAAAAGGAGATCATGGCTACTGACTCTGAGAGTATGATATGAACAGTATGTATGGGTATATATATGGTGTTCTATTTGGTTGTGGAGATGGAAATGGAGATATATGAGTAATGAGTGAGGGGATTATGCGAGAAAAGGAAAGGAAGAAGAGGAGGGTAGGGAAGTTTGAAGATAGGATGATAGATAGATGGAAGTTGGGGTGAGAGGTAACTTGTAAGGCATTGTTTCTTTGTATAAAGAATATTTCATAAACTTCAAGAAATCCTCAAGCTCGTTCCGATGGAATTGAATTCTTCATCATATCTGTGCTTGTGCCGTACAATCGATATATCATTGATAAAGTATATCGACAAAAGACATACATACATAGCACAAAGAAGAAGAAAATAGCAGCGACAACGAGTGATAATGTATCTTGATGCTCAATACTTCCCACGAACTTACCCCGGGTTTGGAAGAAATCCCCGATAGGTTAGGATGTATTGGCCGGTAGTAAGTTGTTGGATGTTGATGGTTGCTGGAAGTATTAGTAGAAGAACGACTCATAAGTCGGAAGTCATCGAATCCATGGATATGCGATTTTTTAAAATCGAGAAGATTGATGGATGTAGAAGTATAATTTGGACTGATATAATTTCTGGTGTAAGGAACTGTGATTCTGGAGTTATTGATGCGCGTATCGTCCTGCAGGAAATGCTACTTCTTTGGTCTTTTCATTGTGGTCGATTGTAACGTCACGAGAACCTCGAATTTTAACGGATCGATTTTCTGGTTGGGATACAGTATTGTCATTAGGATGTAAAGAGGCTTAATCTGATAATAACACCTGAATATGTCGTTTTATAACTCAAGTCTTTCGTCCTGCGCTACAATAGGCACTTGAAACTAGACTTGCGGATGTATACTTTCGGACCAATCTGAAGGGTTCCTTGTCAAGCGTTAACTTCACTCTAACCTTTGAAGTTTCTCGAAGGGTACTGCCTGATGTGGCAGCCGATATAGCCATGCGTAGAATTCATGCTATTCTGCCTGTCAAACATACACATCAGGATCTGTGCATTTTCCCTCTCGTTCCTACTCCACTTCAGAAAGATTCTGTATACCTAGGTAGCGTAGAGAAATTTTTGATATGAAAGTATATACAAGATATAAAAGTCAAGCTTGACGTATGGAACTACCTACATGCTGCTTCTTCTTGCATGCTGAGTACTTGACAGAAATTAATAATAAGGATCAACTGAGGTTCTAAACTTTACGGCTCACCAGGGCTACTGGATATTGCTGGGAAGCGAGGTGATACAGTAACATTAAGAAAGTTGTATAGCTAGACCCTCGTGGACAGGAATGGTTTGGTAAAGATGTAGACCAAGTGGTGTTGAATATGGGAACGTACAAGATCATCTCAACTAACTATCAGAACATGACACGACATCAAAGGCATATGGCCAGTTAAGACAATAGATAGATAGTGTGTGAAGACAGCACAGGTTGAAGATGCCTTGAAAGCAATTCTATCGATTCTCAAAAGGTTAGTTGTTGTAAAGTTAAAAAGTACCAGTATAGATGATCAATTTGCTTTTGAGTTGAGCAATCATAACTGTAGAAACAAAGAAGCCAAATTCATACAAATAAAGTTGTAATACTTTAAATGATACCGAAACTCAATTGTCAAGCGGTATATGTGAACATTAAAATTCCTATGATGAAAAGGATTTATAGTTGCGTGCCATTAAAATTTATGTTGGAGTAACTTTCCGACTTTTCTTTTACTGGAGGTATCCCAGGCCTGAAATGTTAAATAAGTATAAAGCATAAACGAATATTGATTTATCCACTAAAAACCTTCTTAATATTTGACATGGAAGAATTGGGATTACTTGAAGAAAGATGACATCATGGACTTAAATTGCAACAGCAAGCTTTGGGCATAGACATGTACTCCATAGACAAAAGACGGTTACTGTCGAAATAATACAAATATGATGACATATCTATGAGAGATAACACAAATTAATGAAAATAAAACTAAACAATAAGAAACTTAAGAAAGCTTGGAGCCATACTCGAGGCTAGATCCCAACGCACATGATATCTTGTCTAAGACATTAGGCGATGGATAGGAAGGTTTGCAAAGAATTACTTCACACGTGAAATCATAATAACGTTGACACCTATAAAAGAACGAGCTCATCCATATATCGGACCTACTTGTACTTCTCACTTTTTCCAGCAGAAAGAGAGAAGTCCCAGAGAGAATATAGGACCTCCAACTTGAATGCAAGCATTCGAGTACTCCACGTCCAATCGCCCCATTTAAATCCACTGATCTGACGCAGATAACATTAACTGCCCTGAGCTTTACAGCTGGTGGGGCGACGGGACACGAACAGTATGTAGAGCGGAACATC